GGTATAATAATGTTTGAATGCCATTGCCTCATTGTTAGCCTCACTTCACTACAGGCCTTAGCACCTCAGAGCTCTAATTTGTTTTACGCCTCTACTATTACTTCTTTATCGTTACTATCATGTTATTAGTATTGTATTTATGTAGTAAAAGTTTAATTACCCAAGTTTGAGGCTGGTAGATCAACTACAACAACTAAAAGATCCGCGTGGCTAATATTCTACATCAATCTGAACCGCTACACTTCGCCGCTAACCACTTTCGTTACACATAATAGCCCACAATAATGCTTCTCCCCAATCCAACGGTTATTCCCATAACATAAATTCACATCTACTTACCGGGTGAATTTCTTGACTCGAACTGGTGATATGATGTGGAGGTGTTACACGTCCATGGTGGTCGTTTAAGGGAAATGGAGTCGGCTCTCTTTGTTCAGGATTGATTACCTATCAAAAAGCAAGATCTGTACGAAAACTTACGCATATAAATTCTTGCACACTTAACACCACGAAATTCGATTCAATCAGATAGTATTCTATTGCTCAATAATAAGGTAATTTCCCACTATTCAACATTACAACGACTGTGGTTCCAATTCACTTGAAAGTACATTGATTCGGTCCTGGGAGCAGATACCCAACTTTGTAAAGACAGATTTTCAAAGCGTTTTTTCACGAATTTCAAAATTTTTTTGAAGGTTCGAAACCTGTGTGTGGGGTAAAACGACCAAAATTCACTTAGATCCTTTTGTTGGTCAGATTACTAACAATCAAATTGATTGACTTGAACATCTGTTTATCTCAGGTTTTATGAAAACTTGTAGCAACAATCAATACGGAATTATTTGTGCCATCTGCTAACATTGGGTGAACTTTTGCTATATTTTTACCTTACCAAGGAAAACCGAACACTTGTAGAGTTAGCTGGGTTGAGCAGTAAAAAACGTATTGATTCCACGATGAAAAAGAAAGTGTTAAAAACACTCCGTTAGAAAGTCCATCAATTAAAAATCAGTTATAAAACCAGAAAGGTGATGTACCTTCTGAAGAGCTTGCGCGAGCCCGTTCAAGGTGTCTACATGAAGTTCATCAGGTCCACTACTAGTCGTCTGATTCGAAGGATGTTCATCTTCTTCCTAAAGAAAATTAGTTAGTTCCAAACAATTCCTTCATTAAAAATAAATAACAGGAGGTGGTTAATCCAAGGACGAAACCATAAATAGATAGCACCAAATTAAACATAACAAGAACAAAGAACACCTTCGGCGCCTGAATTTGAGATGCTGACTTAGACTGGTGCGCTGTAGCAGCATGTGTAGGCTGTGCTTGCTGCTGTATCGACTCTTCACATTGTTGTTGAATTTGACTCAGAACAGTGAGCTTTTCGCTCAAGCCTAAATCTATATTCCAGCTCTTGAACATAAACTATGTCGAATTTTCTAATTCAAACAGAAACACCTGAAAGATTTGTCGTAGTTTCTCCCGTGTGAGCAGGAGTAACTGGAAGACTAGTGGTTGGATGAACACCACCCTGGCCACTATGCACCTGCAACCACAGTAACACTTCGCCAACGTTCGCCACAAGGCAAAAGGACAAAATTGTAAATTACATGTCATAATATAAAGAATACACTGTAATTACCTCTAAACGATAAGCACCCTCGACACTACATCATTAGCGCGAAATGATCGCAGCATTTTTCGCCACCACAAGCAACAGTGCAATTTCTTAGCTATCACGAATATAAAACGATATTTTAATTAATTCTAAGCATAAAAGGTACGGAAATTGCAATCCTTAAGTGGGAAAAAGATTTTCCTAAACAACCGTGCAGAAATCCAAAACAGGCTTAAAGTGAATGCGTATAAAGACATGAAAGTACTAACCGTCATAACACAGTGTTGGTTCGAAGCAATCGGTTGCCCTGTCATAACTTCAGGAATTGGTGCGTGAACTGAAGCACACCCTGCCGAAACTGTTGACACTCCACTCACCTAAGAAGGATACCTTCAGACACTTTGAAATCGTCCATATTTCATTATAACAAAAGTAGTGATACTGATAATACCTTTCTCAGTTCCGAATCCAGCTTTTGCAGAGCAGAAAGATCTAAATGTGAAGCATTAACTTGTGGATGATGACCAAGAGCCGTCACAGCTGCGCTGGATTCCACAATAACGTTCGATGGTACAACAGAATTAGTTGCAATTTCAGTTGATTGAACTGAAGATGATGATGAGACCATTGGTGCAGTTGGAATAGATATTATGGCAGGTGAAACCATCGGCAAAAGCATCTGTAAAATCGCTTGAAACCATGGTATACACAACGAAAATCCCAGCAATCAGCTCGTGAGTCCCAAGAAGCTGAATTTTCCAGATCTCGCCAATGAACCTCTTTTATTAAAAGACTACTGACCACTAAACAATATATACTGCAAAAGATATGGTGGAAAACCTATGAACGAAACCCACTGTCATCGATGCGACAACACTAGTAGTGTTAGATGACTGAGCAGCAACCGGAGTAGATGGTCCCATATTATAAATGCTGGCATCAGTATGCGTTGACGTTGAAGATGAAAATCCCGATTCGACAGATGTAGGAGCAAGTGTAGCTTGCATTGGTACGCTTTGCACCTTAAACTTGTATCAAAATGAATGAAACTATAGAACAGCCTCTAAGATATCACTACAAACTTTGAATCGACTACTACTGCTTGCATTACTGGCCACAGACGACGTGTTTGAATGACCGGCCGTAGTAGTTGGCGAAGACTCGTTTGAAAGCAGTATTGGTGCGGATGGACTTGATTGTTGGGCAGATAGTTGAGACTCCGACGATATAGCAGTTTCAACAGTTGTTAACACTGAAGCTGTTAGAGGGGTGGATGGTAGTGCAGTGACGAGTGAAGGGGTAACCTGAATTTATATTGCACACAGTTCTACACATAAGTGCTCGCTATTTTAACGGTTATAAAACCCACACCTGAAACCTTGAGGTCTTTGCTGCAGAGGTGGTAACCGGGTTAGCCGTAGCGGAAACAGAGCAAGTATTGATAACATGAGTGGAGGAAGACTGGGAAATTGCAGCCGGAACGGTGGTTGCGATTGAGGTTAAAACATCGCTGCTAACATTTCGGTTCATGTTGGAACCCAACTGGAGAGATGACTAAATAATCTTGTAAAATATGATATATGCAGCAATCTACTACTAGGTCGGCGAAAAAAGATTCAATTCCTCGTATTTAAACCCAAACATTGTATTCTTGATTGGTTGTAGAAATTTCTGGGCCTCCTCTAAAGGTAAGTGCACAAGATAGTAAATGAGAACAATATAAAAAACAAATAGTCGTTCGTTGACTGAAAGGTGCACGACTACGCCATGTCTCGGATGACGTGATCATCGAAACCCATATAGATCGAGGCTGGTAGTTTTCCCACTGATGATCTCACACGAGAACTTGAAAATACTACGAAATGATAAATTAGCGGAGGCAACGGTTGTTAGAAAACCAGTATTAAGGAGTACCTACACCTAGTTGGGTGCCACATTGTTATGGCAGAATAACTTAGCAGTTCAATGGCACGAACCAAACTGCTATAGTGCCGATCTGCCATGTCACCTGAGTTCCTGAAGGATCTGGCAAACTGTAGCGAGGGATGGATGCTTTACCACACCTACTCAAGGTGTTCGCTCTGGCTGTCACTGACATAACAGTAATTAATTAAGTTCGAGCGTAAATCATGATAACGCTCATCCTCGTTGCTTATAGCACTGATGCGTCACAATATAACATGGGGTGTTGTGTTGCTGGGCTACGACGGCATGAACATCTACGCAAACCAGTTCCGCTTTATGGATGCTGCTATGACTCAGAAAGAGATGAAACTAAGTTGACTTTCTAATCCACAACACTTGTATGCACGTGATCTCAACGGTTCGTCAGTAAGTAGTAACGGTTTGTTCTTAAACCGTTCTACAATTGTCTATAGCTGACAGCGACCAATCAAGCGAATAAGCGGGTTTATTGCAGTTTGAAACGGAGTGTTGTCGACAAAAATTTTAAGAGAGAAAAATCATGATTCAGCATCAGTTTGCCTCTAACACATAGATTGAGGTTTTCAGTGTAAAGCTCGCTAAAATCTAACCTTAGCACTTCACCACCTAATAGTGGATCTCCAAATGCCCTTATAGAATCATTCGAAATGTCTTTAAAAAAGGCGACATTGGCCTACAATAATCAATAACTTCCAAAAAAGGAAAGACGAGAAATTCACGAACCTTTACCTCGGTCTTCGATAGAGGTGGTGAAGATGAGGAGGAGGATTCGGTAGCACAGGATGAGATACATAGTTGTGAAGTCGGAAGCGGAGACGAAGTTAAGTGCTGGGTCGGAGCAGTTACTTTCCCACCATTTGAATGGCACGTAGCCGTAATAACTTGAGTCACGGTTGGCGCTGGACCAACCTGGAGCACGACTACTTAATGTCCGTAACACCAAACAATCAGCAATGCTGACGACGAAGTACCTTCGAGGTGGGCGATCCAGAAGAAATGTTACTGGTTGTGGTAGTTTGTGTCTCCACTACAGTGGTAAGTTTGGTACCTACGACACCACTGGCTCCGGTGTTAACGAGCTGAAGATGATGCTATGGAAAGGCCATTTGAAGCTAATTTAAACTAAAGCAACGAAGAGTTAACCATTCATAAATAAGCATAACTGAAGCTCCCGACCTCAATAATTTGATCTAATTGGTCTTCGACAATTCCAACATAGTGTTGTGCAAGGCAATTCTCGGCCAACTAAAAAACAGACGAAGAAACACTTAAGTACTAATCTTTCAGTATAATCCAAATCCTATAAAAGATTTATTAGCAAATAGTTTTAAAACATCAAAAAAAGTAAATCAAAAAGGAAAAAGAACAATGCATTTATCGATATGGACGGGAAAACATGGTTAAGGAGGAACAAAGAGAAACTACGCTTATTTTCCGTCTAGTAACCAGCACAATTTCTCTGGATTTGAACCACACCTACCAGTTTCTCAGCAATTACGGATGGCCTATCAGAATCTGGTGCAAATTGGAAAGTAACCGTTTTGTGAGCAGTGTCCAACTTACATGATACCAGCTGAAAATACACACATTTACACATAAAGAAAAAATAATTCAAGAAAACAAAGTAACTGCACCGGCTGATCTTTTGCAATATCGACTCTTAGCACCTCCAAAACAATCCTCCTTTTAGCCTTCTTTTTCTCGTCATGGGCAGAGGTTGAGTGTGAATCAGGATGATCTTCCGAAGCTGGCTGGAAATCCAATTGCTTTAAACATTTAAGAGAAGAACTATGATGAATGACAAAACAACACAGACCAATGGAGCTGCAGCAGTTTGAACTATTTTTTCAGTGGACGTAGTAGCACTGATTGTAGACATTGTTTGTTGAACTGAAAGCTGTGTAGAAGATGTTACAGGCGGCGACACAGTGGGTTGCTGTGAATTATGTAAGTGAGCTGTATCCAAAGTAGCGGTAGATGCTACCACCGCTGCCGCCGCCTCCTTCTGCAACGGATGTAGTTAAGATCAACAAGGTGAACGTTTACAACAAAAGTCTACATGGACGCGAACGTTCAGATCATTTCACCTGTTCAGCTTCAAGTCGCGCCGCGTTTTCCTTTTCTTTTGCACGAGCTTTCATTTCTTCTTTGATTGCTTGTTCTTCACGTTGCCTCTCCTCCTCTTCCCGCTGCCGTTTCAGTTCCGCAATTTTGAATTCGCGATCCCTCTTGAAGCTCTCTACCTAAACAAGGCGATATATGTATAAATAGCAGAGATCACTATGAGCAAAACTATGCACGATAGATGCAGTACCTTATCTTTAATCAGTTTTGTGATCATCTTAGTGTCTTCGTCTGGAATATGCTGCTGCTCTATCATTTGTTGGACAACCTTCGAAACAAATGTTTAGGTTAATGGATGTTGGTTAAAAATTTATTTGACTTTGTATTTTATCATAACCGTGTTCTTTAAAAATTTCGCTTGCGAATGTGGATTCTGAAGGAAAGAAAATCCGAAATGTACAGCAAACCAAAAAGAGTAGTGCGTAAAGAAATCAGCGTCAAGTTCTTCAGATGCAAATTATTAGTTGATTGATCTCGAAAACAGATGCGGAACATAATTGGTGTGCGAGTGATGGCAAAACAACCTATCATATTAGTTAAAGCAAGAGCAAGATGAAGGGCTGACCTCATTCGAAATATTGAACGAGCAAACCTCTTCAGCTGTATCATTCTCAATATCGAATGCAAACTGGAGTCCTTCGTTCTCTTTGAATCTGTATTGCTTCCGCTTCTTCTCGTCGTAAACCCTCAACTGCATCTGGATCTACAAAACGTTTAGCATTACTATTGTTACGTGTGTTATATATACATATATATATATATATATATATATATATATACACGTACACATACTACATTATGCAGATAATAATAATAAAGGATAAAGCTCTCGGCGTTGACCAATCCCTTAGGGATAAGCCATGCATTCGACTTCGTTAAACATCGTCTGGAGGTAATTGAATGCATATAAGTCCGAATACGGCACCACACACGCTCTTATTCTATTATATTAGCAATCATATTTTGTACACTATTTAGACAAATTCTGTTTACGGTATAAAGTCTCTTCTCGCGCAGTGCTTAGACTGTCTTGCAATATATACGTGGTCATCGTTTCGATCCCGCTCCCCGGACTCACCAAGCCTTCTTTACTTCCGACGTAAGCGAACTGGTAACAGACTTGTCTGGGAGAGCAGCAGCACTGACTTGATACAACGGTAGGTTACCGCAAGTCATTTTGTTGGCCAGATATGCATTCAATCATCCCTAGCGACTCTTTACGAGAGCAAATGCATGCGCACCTCTAAGGGATTGACGAACGTGGAGAGCTTTGCCCACTACCCTTTCATTTGTTTATATCGCATGTATTTTTTGTATCAATGTGCACATATAAAACATAAATAAACTCTGCACAGCCCAAATAAATGTGTCATATTAAATTTACCTCCACATTTAACTCAGAAAGATCGAGATCGCGGTTTTTGATCTCAACTCGAATTCCGATTAACTCTTCAGGTGTGAAGAAATCATCTGCGAGCAACTGTTTTACAGTACTTCTTTCCTCACGTCGCACTCTGAACATCTATTAGCATCAATATGACTGTGAAAAACTGTTGTTAAATAAATATGAGTAAAAGTATCACTATAACCCCAACGATGCTGAGATATTCACAAAACTTGGACCTCGGACCGGATCGAACCACGATTACCCTTCCCGGAGACTCGCGTATTACACACGTACTACACACAGTGTGACTACATTTTGTAAGCTGAAGAACTACACAAAAAAATCGCACCACACGAAAAGTTTACCGGCATCATGAGTGCTCCAGTATGCCAAAATATCAACTCAGATATCACAGTAATTCCAACCTGATGCAACGATCGATAATCTCCCGAATCTCTGGGTACTGCTGTGGGATTCTGTTAAAGCATTCCGGTTTCACTCCCTAAAAGACGATTTAGAAATGTTTTGCTACTGCAATTTGCAGATTATATCAAGTTCACTCACCGTAGTAACTTTTCGGTAAATTTGAGCTGGAAATTGGCACTCGGTGTATGGATATTCTCCGGTCACCATTTCCAACAAGCACATTCCGAACGCGTACACATCTACCGACTCATCATACATTTCTTCGTACATCTCAGGCGCCATGAACTCAGGTGTTCCTAAACATTAACTTTCGTTAGGTTTCCGTTAGATTTCAATCAATTTCGTTTGCTATCGTAAAAACCAAAAAATCTGTTAAATTGGTACTATCCTACGGATTTCTCCAAAGGTTTATCGCCTCAACAATGGATAGTATCCTAGGTGCCGAACTACGATATACAGTGCGCAAATCATCTATGGTTACTGAAGTTGAAAAAGAAACACATATTTCTAATCTGGAAATCTAATTTCACACAGCACAGCACGGTTGTGTTAGCTAGACGTTGTCACATTCCCATCAAAACAGTTTTAAAAAGAGAAATCCACTAAGAAGCTTTGCAGCACAACAGAAAGACACGGAGTACACCAATGCTCGCTCGAGCTAGTCACGATTTAGTTACATACTTCTGGTTTGACCAAGTTCATGATAAGGGGGAAGTGACTAGTTAGATTGTAAACACAATGGAGCACTAATAATAAGAGTACCTGTAAACAAAGCAATGAATGCAAAAGAAAATCGACTCAAATTCAAAGCATCTTTCCTTACACTCCTTTATTTAAAAGGTTTAGGGCCAAATGGGCCTCAGATACACATGTGTATTAGTACACAGCATGTAACTGTAAAAGTTAAGTTAATCGGTCCCAATTTCCTATAAACACACCGTGAACTCTGCTATGAATACAATATTGTCCACCGAAGGTTTCTTTATATTATTATTATTGCATAGATCATTCCAATGGTTTACCGCCTCATGGTGGCTGGGACGTATTCCTGGGTGCTGGGCAGCGATGTATAGCGGGAATTCAACCCTCCAGCAGGGCCTCAAAAGCTGAGGAGTCCGACGTTTCCATTCGGAAGCCCAGCTTCTTAGCAAACCAATACCTAGGATCACCACCACCCTGATATCAAACTAGTCGCATGGTGGCAAATCCCTCAACAATTCACAAAGACCTGCTACTGCATGGAGTGGTGACGACCTGAGGAATGCTTCGGCTAGGTTGGCCCAGGTACTAGAGGGAACTTTAATGATTAAATCAGCATATCTACGGCCACAGTACCCAGCACACTGGTCCCTCACGTCTACGACGTCGGGCGGCGAGACAACTGATAGGAGGCGATCAAATCTCGGGTTGCACAGTACATCGTTGGAAGAGCACAAAACCCGCAGTTCCACGACATACTATGCAGACCGCTTCTAGCGTTACACCAACAACACGAACTACCCCTTCAAACGACGATGTTCATGCGCATCAAATTCCATGTGATCTCCCTATAAGACAAGAAAAAAAAAAGGAAGACCGACATGCGCCAATTAGATTGATGGAACATTTCTCAATCTCGGAGGAAATTTCCCGTTACGAATTGTTGGAGACGTTGGCTTTGTCGTACATCCATGTATTTCGAATCTAGTCACCCGAAATCTTATCAGTGCACTCAGTCATTCTTCATCTCTAACTTGCGCGTTAAAAGAAAGTCAGTGTCAGAACTGTTGCTCAGCAGCTTGGCACATCCATGTATTTCAAAGGTGTTGGAGCAGGAAATGAGAATAGAAACTGTCTTGCAGGACTCCTAACCGCAGCACCTTTCACCCATGAGGGTTCATTTTCCAAAAAGATAGAAGAAAACAGCCATGGACATGGGAGTCTTCTAACGGCACGATTTACGCTGAGATCATCATATTCTGACAAACAGATAGTGCCTCTCTGACACAGTTGTATCTGAATTATGCACAGGATTTGTTCACCGCCTTTTCTATGCGATGATTAGTTCCAGAAATAAGCTGGAAAAGTACCCCTGTCATCGCTCAAGAAAGACAAGTCCAATATGACGAAGATATTCTCTACAAAATCCTCTACTCATATAACTAAAAAACTGAAGGAATCTAGATTAAGGATTACACGCTTCTTGTCCAAGAACTTAATACTTGTGCCGAACTCGCCTCAGTTCCTCAAATAAGAACATCAGAACGCATCACCACCACCACTAAGGAGTTGCTCGAAAAGACACTGAAGTTTGATCCTATTTCAACACAGCTAACACGGCTGACAATAAGACCCAGCTATAGAAGATCTTTGTTAGAGGATTTACATCGGTATAAGGAGAAAGAGTTATTGGAAGCAGCTCAAAAAACGATCCATTCCGAAAAACTGCCGTTGGAGTTTCTGCAATTATAAGGTTCCGCAATCCGCCATGATGAACAACGATGAGACTGTCAGTCTACCCTATTATGATATGAAACATATAGCTCAAAACTCAAATGTCACACCAATTTTTTCGCTCCACAATCTCCATGTCACACCTCTAAATCGCCACTGGTTAAAAACCGTACGTAATTCTACTCTCTGAAGCTTCAGTTGCGAAACATGGAAAAAAGCGCAGCTCCAGAGCCCGATCATATCACCCTTTAGGGCCAATGACCACACATTACGTGTACTTCTCGTTACCCACATAACATTTTACATTTAGAAAGAGAAACCCTAGGACCAGTGTTAGGGCCTGGGGTAAAGTCATTCTGCCCGAAAAGGGAGAACGAAAAGATCTCCGTCTAATATGCTAATTGAATGTCTTCTGCAAGCTGATCAGGAGGGTCATACTTTTGCTCAAATCGATGAGTTTGCATGAGGTACAACCATATGCGCATGCAAGATTCGGACAGCGATTCTGCTATAAGGACCACATCCAAACCGTAGGCACAGGTCTGAAAAGTCTATCCTCAGTACCATTTGCGCCTTGTCCTAACCTTTATCGACTACGTGAAAGCGCTTGACATCATCAAAACAAATGCAATCCTATCAGCGGTGTCGACCAAGTAGTGGACTCGTCCTGTGTACGAACACTAGCAGAACATTATCGGAACTGCAGCACAAACATGCAGTGTTCTCATAGATACCTCATCATACTCATTGAGAGAAGGTTTAGAAAACGCGACACAATATCGCCTAAGCTGCTTACTGCCGCAGTGTAGTGGGTAATGAAGTAACTTGAATGGAACGAAGAAGACATACTAATTGTTGGAAAATTCTTATCAAATTTTCGTTTCGCGGATGATATCTTTTCGAGAAGTACCATCGAAGTAGGCACGACGTTAAACGAACTCAACGAATCTAGAGAAAAAAACTGGACTGCGCGTAAATCAGAAGGCCCAGTTCATGAAAAAAAAACGTGCGCACGGCAGCAGATCAAACTGAATGGCTTTGTGATTATAGAGACGACCCCGTACGTATATTTTGGACGTTCGATGAACGTGGAGAACAACATGAAGGAGGAATTAGACAGAAGAAAGAGAATAACGTGGCTCACTAGCCAGATCTGATTCATGACAAGGACGAATGGAATCTATTCAGCATGGGAAATACTCGATAATTAATCTTGACACAATTGATAAAGATGATCGATTAGAGACCAAAATATTTGAAAACACAGAGAAAATGATCCTAATAACGTTGATTTGATAATATCGGGACAAAGAAAACCACTTATCACTTCAAGTCAATAACATTTAACAGAAGTAAAAAACTTTTTTGAAGACGTAAAAAAAGGGTTCAAAAACGAAAGTGCTGACGAAAACACCCACCTATGACACTCTTTGCATACGACTTGTTTTTGAGGGTAGCAAGACCAAGATCGCCAATTTTGACACTCCCGGTAGTTCCTGTTATGAAGATATTGTCACATTTTAAGTCCCTATGAATAACAGGCGGATTGCGAGAATGCAGAAATGATAGACCCTTCAAAATTTGGCGACACCATGACTTCAACACCTGGAAAATGGAAATGGTTTCACCCAATATTTCATTCCAGGAACCATTAAAACAAACAGTAAAAGACCTTTATATTAATCCTTTTAAAACGTTTAAGATACATCTTTAGAGTTCCAGATGTCATTAGTTCGGTAACCAATACAATGTACCTAAAGCGTGCGTAAGAGATATTAGCTACATTTCACAGAACACAGACAAAACATATTTAACAATCAGCACAGAGAAAACTAACTTCCTCTTTCCTGAAGGATCTGTCCTTTCCCAGTAGTCATAGAATCTTACAATATTTGGATGCTGGAGGTCCTTTAGCATCTCTGCTTCCTCTCGAAAGCGTTGTCGCTCCGCCTGAATTCCTATCAGCTGCTATGAGTAAAAAAAAACCGAGATCGACAAGAAAAAAAGGGAAGAAGGACTTGGAAATTCACCCTATTCAGTTTACTTTCTTGCAGCTCACACCAAGCCACAGCCACACCAGTTTCAGTATCAAGCCCGCGATATACAGTCTTAAATGATCCGCGCCCAAGCTCCTCATCGAATTTCAAGAAACGTCCATCTGTTAAAAAAGGAAAGTTAGTAACAAGATACTAGAACATTGAAAACTATGCCAGATGCACTAATTTACTTGGACTTTTATCGATGGGTTTCTCCTGGGCGTCGAAGTCATCGTCAACTTCAAGCTGTTCTTTTGCGCGAACTTCTTCATCCCTCCTCTCTTTTTCTCTATCGTCAGCAGGCAATGTTTCTTCTGGTATTTTTACTTCGGCCGACAAGTGTTCGTCGGTCGCCACAACCGTGGTTCCAACGGCCGCCTGCGCAACTGCCTTTGACGCATTCCTGAATGCACGTGTACCTCTTACTATGTCTTCCAACCAATGCAGACATACGATTAAGACAACAATAACACAGGTGCAAAAATCAGAATGTCTGGTGGGAAACAATTTCGCAATGCTACACTCGGTCTTTTATTTTAATATGAGACCTTGTATCATTACCACCCTCGCTGCATTCAGCACATCTGCTAGATTCGCCTTATGCTCTCTCAAAGATCCGCATCCATATTATAATTTTTAACTCTAAAGCTTCATTTAGAGAAAAAGAGAGTAAATCAAATTTTTTCATTTGAAAACGAATTCCTATATAGGAATGTACTTCTATGAGAAAACGTCAATCAACCCTTCTCCTATAAAACACCATGTGGTTGAGTTCGGAAAACAAATCTTTAATATCTATTTGATACAATATACGCTAGTTCCTTCCAACCGTTTACCGCATTATCGTGACTAGGAGGTGTTCATAGGTATCGAGCTGTGATATACAGCTAGGGGATTCATCCCTTTGGCAGTCTCCCAAGCTGAGAAAGAGTCTGGTGTTTCCATCAGGAAACCCAGTTAAGAGTAATTCAATACCAGGATCCATCACCGGCCGGGTATCAAACTATTCGCATGATGGCAAATCTCGCTCTGATTCACAAGCACGGCGACTACCTGTGATGACCTGGGCCACACTTTGGCCAGGCTGATCTTCGGACTGCAGGAAAACACAACAGCTAACCCAGCAAATCTCAGAAGAATGGAAATTATGCTGGGGCCCGCACAACTAGTGAAAATGGGCCATCCAAGTAGCAAGCATATGCTAGTTATAAAGAGCACAAAAAGCCATTAAGCTGCACTACTAGTACTAGTGCGACTACGTTACTTGTTAACGCCAGAAACACAGTGCCTGACAACATATGCGATTATAGAGGCACGAGATACAGTAACTTGTAATGCCCACAGATAAGTTATTTTGCTGAACTCCTGTATGAATAATAAACTGGCGACAAGAGATTATGCCGAGCGCGGCGCATTCTGCGTTGTAATGCGAAACAGGATTATCAGATTCTCTGCTCGCTTTCGACTCTCTTCCTAGCCGAAATATTTTTGGACCTGGGACCATTGCGACAAGTGGATGATCATCAGTGTGTATTAGAAATGAAACGCTCCTGAACATTCTCAACAACTCAACGCAACATTCTTTTAATGACCATACTCTATCAGACTTTTTTCACCACTATTTTAATACTTTTATGGACGCACAAAAGAACATCGCATTTAGATGTTTTGGACCAGAAATTGGTTTCAACTGAGAATTCTTTTTCCCAAAGAACCATCAACATTAAAATAACTAAAGAAATGAGAACCTTAAAATAACCCGTCGAGTGACCATGTTATCTATTAATTCTGATCATATTTATAGTCTCAAGATTCTAATCTACTTAAAAACAGAATTCCTGTCCCTCGTTCCTTTTGCACTGTTCAAACTACTACAATCAGAAAAAGATGAACATCTCGCATCACTTAGTCACGTGAGTTTCACGGTTATATGAGTGAGTTAATTAATTCCATACAGAATGCACAACATTGTCATCTTGTTATATTGAAGTAACAGTTGGCAGTCTCTGTCTACCAACAGCTCTCTAACTTGACAAAAAAAAAGCATAATTACAAAGAAATCTTCAAGGAAAGAAGATACTGAACTTTTAGATTTTTCGGGACAAATATAAATTATAGATACTCTGCACAAAAAAGTGAAAAAAACGCACCGTGTTCGGTCAAATATACTTGTCTGACTGGTAGTGGGTACATTTTGAGCAACTGCAGGTGCTTTTTTTTCATTTGGTACTGCAGCAGAAGCTACACCTGCCTGGGTTTGTTCACGATGACGAGCACGAATCCAAGGCTAAAAGAATGACGTGAAAAAACGGTAACAGATGTAACACTTTTAGAGCTAATGCGAAGTTGGTATAGGTTTTCATTGTCGTTGGTGTTATTGGTTGATGGCCGACGTTTCCGCGATTTCACCTTTCTCAGAGCCGTGCTGTTACGAGTGGGGCTCGAGATATAAAACTGTCAATCTATCAAACGACAGAAGTTTTTTGCAATAACCCAAAAATATGGATTGGAGCATTTAGAAAAGTAGTAGATCATATGGACTACTCACTCTATTCGTAGCATTTGCATTGTAGGGACGACTGAGACGCCAGTCCCGCTGCACGGCCTCAAGCCGGGATCGCTCCTCACCGGATAGCCAGTTCGTACCGATTCTGAAACAATTTAGGTTGTACTACAATTATGAAGATATAAAAGATAAGATAGATAAGAAGATAAAACTATGTCATAGCAGAGCCTGCTAAACACATATGACATTATGTGATTTGTAAAACATACTAGAACAAGCAATATTGATTCAGCTTCTAACACACTACTCGAATGATTAGGCAATAGTACGAAATAAACTTCCCGTGAATCACACTATCGATATACCAAATTAAGAATACCAACTGCACAAACGCAAACAATGCCGAGAATGTGTGATAACGTATTTTCACCAAACATTAAAGCATTCATTCGGACAAGTTTTTAACGCCCACACCATTGAAGAGTCCAAGGATAAAAGATGTGATGAGGTTATTTCAGGAAAATACGCTTACGACCACGGTTTATGTATGACACACGGCAAAGGTGCGCATGATTCAAATGCAACATAATCAATGAAACGGTCACTTGACTGGAATCATGTCCTAGAACTCGTGACACCACTAGTCTAGCCAAAAGTACTTGTGTATACAAAGTCAATGGCAAACAGACTGAACAGGCTGTAGAACAAAATAAACCAGTAATGCCTTTGCCCTATTTCTCGATAATCGACAACAGAATCTAGAATATAGGTGATGAGGCCACCTACATATGCACAACAGAAAGAAGCTAAAACTACTATTCTACCACTAAACGGAAATTCGAATTTTTGTAATTCTTATGACTGTTACCCTGACAATCCCCCATAATAAGCGTATCTCCTAGTTTCACAGCACCAGAAACTGTAACACAGATATTGTCATCTACTGCTGGAAGTTTGTACTTCCTGAACAAATAAAACTATGGAACGACTAGTACTACCCTCAAAACTCTAAACACAACGTTACTGCGCACTTTACATTAACATAGACAAGAAAGAAAATTGAAACATAAAGGTCACGCATATGTTGGCGCTCTATCAACGACAGGTTTCCACAATGGGAAAAGGGTACTTAACAACGGCGCTCATGAAATGTATGATAAATGAGAAAGTGACATGACGGCTGAAACTCGCTCGAGTATGTTTACACTCAATGGAAACAGTCAACATGTAATAATAATCGAATGCAATAAATCGAAACGTATACGGAAAGGACTATTCAGAAGAAACGAGAACTCAACAGTTTCAGCGATGAATCCGATGAAAGATACAACGGAGGGCTTAATACAGTACTGCATCAGCATAAGAACTCAAGTTGAGAAGATTAACCGGATAAAAGATCCTACAGAGAGCTCAATACAGTACTTCATCTACATTCGCCAACTACTAACCTCGACTATACAAGGAGCCTAACTATTATCACCTCGATATTCTTTTTAAAAAAAACCAGTATAACAAGGAGCAAAAAAGTCTAAAAGATAGTTTGTTGGCGATGAAATCTTCTACACGGTGCTGCGCGGCCTTTGACTTCTAAACCTTTCAATAAATAAAACACCGAAAAGTGAAGCAGAACCATTTAGTTCACTTAAGTGACCACCCAAAGATGGACCTGGGAATCGAAACTTGTTAAAAGACTAAACTAAACGGATTTTTCGCTCGATATAGATTGAAACATAGGCAGTTGAGGAGCAGTCACTTACCGTTGTGTATATTCAAGTGGCATGACGTAGTACTCTCAGTAGGAAAGAACACAATAAATTTGTGATGAAACAGCAAAAAATCGTTCGCATAGCGGGTCTGCTCTTTAAAATTTCTATATCAGAAGTAGTGTCAGACCAAAATACCAGTAATATTCAGCCGAAAGGATCCAAACAGATGTTGTAGATGACATGTCAAGATGAAAGCGCAGTTTGAAAGTGTTCGCTAACCAAAGCGAAACACGAAAAGCGACGTCGACCGCTTGCGTAGCATTTGACTTCATCCATGGGAATCGCTATTCAAATAAGGTATTACGACCGAATAATCATGGGCGTGGAGTATCGAACAGTGTTTCTGACAAAATACACTCACTGAAGGTCATATAAGTACAAGTTTTTAGGGCCAGAAATTCTTCATAAGCCGGCAGGCTTGGGAAGATGTGAAACGGAAGTATAACTAAAGCAAGGAAAAAATGACGAAGGTGATCTGCTCAACATCGATCGTCAAAGGAGGATTCACCGCACATTCGAAAGAAAAACGTCTTCGTTGTATTGTTTCCACATATTCTTAAACTGTACATCATCATTAGCGGATTTGGTTTCCAGTGAAAGAACCCCACCAAGAAAAAAAAGCTCATAAAGATATAAACACTATAGGAAATATAACATGCTTACACCATATGCTCATTTCACGAATACTATGCTAGGTGTTAGCACATAAAATCAAAAATAAAGGAGACATTAGTACTAGAAAATTCCTTGTGGTCATCTCGGAATGCCTGAGATCTTAACATCTTACTTCTACCAGGATTTAACACAACACTTAGAAATTCACCTGTAAGAAAGCAATGGTTAAGATTATGCTCGGGACATAAAAGGAAAGCTGAAAAACTTCTATAATATTTCGCTTTCCTTTAGATATAATCTCTGAAAACTACCGGTTCCAAATGCTTCACTCAAGTAACTGCAAAAATTCCTATGCGATGAGTCATCGTCTTTACAGAACGAACTGTCAGGGTCAGATTCCGGAGAGTCAATGTTACTATATATTTCTGTATAAAAATAATAGACCTCAAGTCGGTGCAAAGAACCCGACAATGGGTTGATGTGGTCAGTTCAACTACGACATTTACTTTCATCCGAATGCTCAGCATCTCTTAACGAGTAAAGTTATACGAAACATTTAACGCGTAAATAAGGAAGACCAGGAACACCTTCAGTCAATTTGGCATGTCGCTAGATTCCACAACCAATCCTCAAAACGACAGCTCTCACATGAGAAAGGAAGACGTGCCATGAAACCTGCAGTACTAGAAACATTGCCCAGAAGGTATGTGTACTTTAACAATTAAAACAGTTGACTAATGTAGTTTGGTCCATGAAAAATTTATGGCTTTTTAATCAAAATAGACATTAGAAAATTAAAATAACATCAAAAAGGTCTAGGGGAGAAACATAAGGCTGTGTTGATATTCATACTGTATAACCGATTAGTACCTTAGCAGGGTGATGGTATGTTTAGTTCCAATGATGACAAGATTAATAGCACATCTAACGAGAAATTTGACAACTCTTTTACAACTTTTATGAATTTCTCCCCCTAAAAGTACAGAAGAACCTCATTGCTGCTAGGTCTGATGACTCAAACATAGTAACAGCGCCAAACAGCAAGAATTAACGAGAATGAATTAATGACTTACCCAATATCCTCGAGGTCTCTCAAAAGCTTCAGCAAACACGACAAGATTTAAAAGACCAGAGCGATAAGCGAACGTACCCAGTGCTCGGCTCGACGGCCGGATGCAGCTCGTCGACTTTGCGCATCGCACGTCGTCGGCCATCGGTCCGTCGTGGCTTCTCCGGTGGAGGTGGAGGTGCCGGCGGCACCTTGCCGTTCTGCACGACTTCTGGCATCACAGAGCCACTTCCCAGACAGCTTCTCGAGTCGCTGGCCGTCAATGCGAAGTGCACAACAGGTGAACTGTCATGCCGTGCTGGTGTCCCTAGACGGATATTTATCGAAAACTCGCACACGAAATGTCTCTCAAAAAGGATTCGAAAGAGAACACAGCGTAGTGGATAGTGAAGCATACGACATCACACACTATTACAGAGATAATCAGCACAAGTGACGGACACTCAGGAGCCGTGAGTTCCTGGGAATACCTAGACGAGTGAGTCGTCGACGGACGAGCGAGAGAGTCATAGTAGTTGCTGGCGACCGCGCGAGATAGCAGTTGACTGGGCGCCAGCGCCGCCTCTGCGTCCCTCGCCGGGATCTCTCACACCGCTCTCCCGCACTGTGCACGGTCCCTCTCATTGCGCTCTCACCCGGTGCCTCTATCTGCACCCTGACCGGGTAGATCAATGTTGCTTTTTTAAGCCATAGTTTTTTCCTTTTTAAGCCATAGAGGGTCCACAGGCGTTCGTCTACGCGATGTGGGTCCTCGTGGTCGTATCGAGTCGAGTCATGCTGTACGGAACTCCTCTTGAACGGGACAACCTCACACCGCGCTATCTCTTCATTCAGTTGTTGATTGACTCCGGGCAATCTATCCAGCAGCAGTCGGAAGAATAGTTTAGAAGTTTAGATATTACTTCAAGTTAGTTAATTTTATTAGTCTAGTTTTTTTAGCTCTGGGTTTTCTAGCCCAAAGTTTAGTTTGAGACTTTTAAAAGTATTGACATATCATGTTGTGGAAATCTCCATTAGTTTTTCATGTCCACCAAACAGCACAGCAGCTATCTTTTTTCCCTTGTTAGTTGGACACAGTTGTATGCGTCGTTAATTGGTCATTGCTGTGAAATGTTGGGATAAACGACTTATGTGTTATGGAACGACTCTTTCGTTTTCTTGTCTTCTTTCTCTTTATTCTTCCTGAATCTATTCCGAAGACTGAGAATTCGCACAAGATTGACGTCACAGCTTCGGTGGGATTCTCTGCCTACCCAACGGCTACCTGTTAAAAAACTTAGTATTACCTACTTGGACATTTCGTCCTCACTGGTTGTGCGGTCCTCGGCATAATTTCCATTTCTCGGAGTTTTGCTGATTTAGTCATGGTGTCTCTCTGGAGTCCCAAGGTTAGTCTGGCCAAAGTCTGCCCCAAGTCGTCACTACCACGAGCCGTCGACGCCTTTGTGGGCCACAGGGAGATTTGGGACCAGGCGACTAGTTTGATCCAGGACGGTGGTGGATTCTGGTATTGGTTTACTCTTAGCTGAGCTTCCTAGTGGAAACGCTGGACTCCTTCTGAGCTTGGGAGACCCTGGCAAGGGATAAATCCCTCGCTGTACATTGCAGCTCAACACCCAGGAACATCACCCAACCACGATGAGACGGCAAACCGGTGGGAGGAAAAAGTATTAGCAGACTGTAACTATGATCGA